CCCCGCTCTCCCCTCTGTCGAAACTGCACGGTGCTGCCATAAATTTCGCAGCTGATTGGGATAGGACTGCATCTCTATTCGGTGGGTGGGGGTAAAGGGGGGTAAAGGAAAACTTCCATTATATTATCCTTTACAGCATTTGTCAAACGTAAGGGAACCCTATAGATGGTGGATATGAAGCGTAAAAGCATTTTGCAAGCGTTTGGGAGATGTTTTTTCAAAATGCAAAACGAGCAGAAGCATCAAGGACCCGAACTTCCGTGACCATCCTGAGAATCCGCCACCGTACCAACTGCTCCATCGCCGCACATTCGGTCTTGTTTTCGGTTGGCTTATATAGGCATCTCGGGGCGTTTAACACAGGAGAGGAAATGGTCCCATAACTCTGACCCCAGAATCGTTTAGCAGATTTGGAAAGCGGATTTGAGATACTCACCTGGAGACACATTCGGCAGTATACATCTCATCTCAGATGGCCACTGCGACCTAGTATCCTTCCCTTGTGAGTCTGTGTCTCATGTTATGTAATTATTATGTTGTATGACTGGTCATTATCATGTAATTTGTTGATTCCTATTGTTATATGATTGTTTATTTTTGATGTTATTAGGATAATATATATATGATCCAAGTTTTCTACAGAAGCAGAGTGAGCCCGCTTCCCTGTGCGCGCGAGCTTAAATTTGGATCAATGATTCTTAGGAGTTTGCGCTATCCTGGCGCGAATCCAGTGCTAGACTGCGGAGCACGGCTTATCGCCTCGGATCAAGGTTATGCTGTTGCACCAGTTATCCGTCGTCCGGGGTCAACAGATGTGGACACCGGCGTAGTGACTTCTAATCAATTGGCCGCGCAGCTCCTGGCAGGAAAAGTTCAGCTTATTTTTACTTTTTCATCACGCGTTATTGCCTCTCTGTGATAAAACAAATCTCTTAGCTTTCCATACATTTCTAGTGGCCAACCCTACTCTCACTCTCCGTAACTTGTTGGAGCGCACCGATATCGCAGCCTCTTCTTTGAGTTCCGACTTGGTACAAATCCATCGCTGCCTGGCAATTTCTGCGAACAATCTCAAATTGTTTCCGTTTATTGGGCACTAATTTTTCTAATCCTTTGGTTAAATTATTCCTCCATCTGGTACAGCCATTTTATCATTTCTTGATCCCTCTACTTTAGTTGCTTCCCAACAAGCAAATCCCGTTGATTGCTCTACAGTACGATATTATTACTTAGGCGTGAAGATTCCGCTCTTAATTTGACTCTACTACAGGTAATTCTCAGTTAATCCCCACAATCTCGTTCCTAGCATTGGTATCCCCTCTAGTCTCAATTCCTCCTCGCTAGCTCTTCCTCTTACAATCTTTTATAACCTGATTTTGACTAACCTAAGCGAGCTAGTTCAAGACCATCAGTGGCAAGAATTATGGACTACTATGTCGACTGATCATCTTTCGTATATTCTTGTAACCAATGGAAAAGAACCGATTCTCAATTCTCTGATGCAAAATGCTCTTTCGTTTTCGCTTTGGACTATATTTTTTTTTGGTTCTTGGTCAGCCTTCGACCTTTGGATCACCTTTTGTGGTATTCTTGTTCCCTTCGCTTAATTAAAACATTTATTATTCTCTATTGCAATATATTGTCCGGAGCTGCTCCCACGTTCCAAGAGCAGCTGCCACTTTCGATTACTACTAATCGCCTAACAGAGCCAGTAGTTACGCAGGCACGCCCTTCGGTATCCTCTATTTCTTCTTCTCAGCCGGTAGAACTTGCATGTCTTAAAATTGATGCATCTTCATCTTGGCCACTTCACGCAATAATGAGTTCCGTCAACATGTTGTATTTATCTGGTCGTGATCGCTTTTTTGTGGCTCAAATACCTAATCGTGTTAATCAAGCACAAGTCTTAGCCTTAGTAGACACCGGAGCATTTATTACTCTCTCTACTGTTGACACCATTCCTCTCTTCGAAGCTTTTAAACTTCTTCAAAGCGATGTTACTTGTACAGTAGGTATGGCAAGAGTCCTTGTACAGCTTTGGGGTTTGCGACTCTTTCGTTCGAAATCGGTTCCCTATCTTTTGAACACCCCGTCTATTTTACTGAGTCGGCCTGTATTCCCGATGTGGGGGACGCTTACAATATCATTCTTTGAAATGATTTTCTTAGGCGCTTGCCGCCATAGTTTATTGATTATGCTAACTGTCCCCTTCGTTTTGCGTATGGCCACTTGAAATTTCTATGCGCGACCCCCGCGGACGCGCTCTCGGCCGCAGAGCAGCAGAAAGCATCCGCGTAGCAGAAACTACCGTACGGCACTAGTGCATTGCGTAGTAGAACAAACCAACCAGATTCCACTCGTATTAGTCTCCCAAAACTGTCAGATTAATCGCTGATGGTCTCTCCGGCTACGGTTAACGCTGCTGACCCACTTCTTTTGGTTTCTATCACATCGTCAAGACCAGAAACCCTCTATACAGGGCAGCAGATATCATTAGCTGTTCCGCTTAATCTCAATGATTGCGGTTACCCTGACCCCTTCCACCTGTACCTTCCCGCTTCACCGCCTGGCTACTTACGAGGTCGTAAGCGCAAGTTCAGGGGTAAACGTATCGGCAGCGATGCGATTTTGCGAACCTCCCGTGCCCTTTGAATCGCGAGCTCAGTTAGCTGAGATCGTGTGTTCATTCCTTCCCGTGCACCCGGATGAAGGCATATCTCCTCTGGCCGTCTTCCAACTCCCACAAGTAGACAAAGCATGGCTAACGGACCGTCTCGCCCGATTCCATAAGTTTCAACGTGATCCTGTTGGGTCGAAAAAACGATTAAGTAAAATATGTAATGTCGCCTGCTCAGCTTTGGCGGCGGTACATGCAATGGGCGATGATAAGCAGACTCACGGAGTCTTCGCCACCATACTCACCCCTGTCTGGTATCCCCTACGCATACAGTTCATCCTGCTCGATATGGCGTCCGAAGCGGTATGGGCGCCAGAACGTCACGTCATCATGTGGATTCCTGGTACTGAATGTCTGATTTGGGCCAATGTAGTAACGGTCACCCCTAGTCCTGCGCGGAAGACCGTAACAGTCGTGATTCAGGCGTTTTCCTGGTCACACGAAGCGTTAATTCGCGCCTCGAGCAACATGGTCACATGCTCGAGGAACAGCGCACATGTGATATCTGCGTGCGCCTCGATAAGTCCACAGCTGCGGCGAACCCCGTGTACGACCAAGTATCGCGTTCCAACATCTTTGGCAACCTTCGCCCGAAGGTCATGGGCGATCACGTCGCCAATTTATTCTATGCCAATCAAGCAATTTGCACGAGCGACGAACCCTACCTGCGTAACTCACCGCCTTCATTGACCCTCACTCCCGATCAGGAGGATGCGGTACGCATCGGCTCTGGGCTACTTCCCCTCGTGGCTATCCAGGCCGCATATGGGACAGGAAAAACCCTTGTGGGATCCCTCATTGCAGCATTAGCTTCGGTAAACTTCAGTAATATTATTGTCGTCACTACCTCCACCAATGCAGCAGTGGCGCAGTTCACAGAGACCCTTCTCTCCTTGAATTTCGCGCATCTTAACATAGTACGCCACATTTCCGACACTGCCGCTGCTGACAATCAGATCCCAACACCGGTGGACCTCGGCAAAATCCTTCGGACCCTCGGCAACGACTATCAGAAACAGCTCTCACATGAGGAGTTCCAGACCTGTTATCAATTCCACGAGTATAGGGAGATCCTCCAGAATTATCTCGACCACCCAGAGTTGATCCCCAACATGTCGGACGAAGACCAGGAGGAGAATGAAATTGCGAGCGTTATGTGTCACAAACCCCAAAACGCACGATGAACATCATGTTCACCGTACGTCGTCCTTCAGTCACATGCATGACAACAGCATCCCTCCTAAACTCCATTGCTTCTAGCGGGATATTCACTCCGTATTTGACCTAATTCACCACCGTAACTGGTGATGAAGCTTCGCAAATTCCGGAACCCGCGTTGCTCGCAATACCCGGACAGATAACCCGCGCTCGTCACGTATATATAAGAGATGTCCACCAAGATGTCCGTCAAGTGCCCTCCTGATTCCAACCCTGTCCACCACGGCGCGCGTAGTGTAATGTCCCTCCTCTTGCAGTCTTCTGCAGTTCCGGTGGCACCTCTTATTACCACCTTTAGGTCTCATCCGGCACTCATCGAATTCCCCAATCACATAGCTTATGCTGGCCAGCTCGTTAGTGGTACTCCAGGGAGAGGGAGAAGGAGGTAGTCGTTTTGCTTATTACCAAAACTGATTTCACTCCAACGACCGCCGAGTTCCTCAACGATTACCGCCACCTCAACGTAGCTGTCTCTCGCTGCAGGCATGGTCAGATCATATTTGGTCATGTCGACTCATTAAGGAAGGTTCCTACATGGAACACCCTTTGCAATGGGCAAATTCTATCGGAGCGGTCGTCCCAGCAGATGAGCTACACAAATATCTACAGCACTCCACTAACTTCCGCTGAGAATCTTCCTTTTTTCTTTTTTCGCTGTACATTCTCAAAGTCCGGGTCGGACTTTGGGAAAGGGGAGAGGTGTGAGCCGCTCCGTGCTAGCGCGGCTATCAGCTGATGATGTTACAAGATGACTCATCGTGGCATTTCAGTGTGGAGCGGCGACCGAGAAGAACTTCAACGAGGAGTCCACGGGAGCTCGCTACCGAGGACCCAGCCCAAAACTTTCTTTCTCACTGGGGGCGAAGCCCTGAACACCACGAAGATATCCTCCTTGATCTCAGCCTCTGTCTCATGTTATGTAATTATTATGTTGTTTGACTGGCCTTTATCATGTAATTTGTTGATTCCTATTGTTATATGATTGTCTATTTCTGATGTTATTAGGATAAATTATATATGATCTAAATTTCCTACAGAAGCAGAGACTGAGCCCGCTTCCCTGTGCGTGCGAGCTCACTTGATGAACGCGCCTGATGTTCCGATACTTCACAAAATTCATGTTTTTCGCTATTCGCTAATTATTCTTCATATTGTGAGGGGCAACTGAGATCTACGATGTTTTATAAGATACGCGGCGAGTGATGGCAAGCTCTTTCGTCTGCGCGCTATCCCCTTGAAATTGAGAAACCTATCGAAGGAGACGCAGAGAAAACGACAATAACGCTGAGTCACTCCATCAACAGCTGACGACGCTCCTGTAACCTCGTATTGGAAGCAATAAGTACCCGATTGCAATGCCACCTTAGCTAGAGTTTTTACGCTCTTGATATGTTTATTTTCTTTTGTTTTGTTTTCCTAATTGTGGGCGCTGTTTGCCGTTCCTAGGATGCCTTCATGAATTCAGCGAACATCAACCAAGAATCGGCCGCGGGCTGTCGAACATACATTAATCTTTTGCCTCCTATCTTCATATTTACTTTAGCCTTATATCCCATGGAGTGCCGTGTCCAGCGAACTTCGGCGAATAGAGATAAAACTCCGGAGGTAGCAGATGTGAAGGATAGAACTTATAGTAGCAGGTTTGTTTTTAATGCCATCTTTATTCTTCGCAATTCCTTATTGTATGTGTATATAGCGCGTAAATCAAACAGAGGCAATGAGCTTGTATTTTCACCTGCAACTTCTCCAGCTTTATGTGTGTGCTTGTGCTTTCTAACTATCGGGGAAACAAGATAAACGAAATTATCAATGTTTACTGACCATGTTTTGCTTTGAATAGGGAGAGGAGGGAAACGTTAATATTAGTGTCAGATTCACGGTGCTGGCAGAAGTGCAAGTAAAACTGTATGGCATTTTTGAGAGCAGCTGGTACTGAGATTAGGAGGAATTTGGAAAAATTACGAGAGTGGTTAACCCAATGGTGACCGTGTGGGCCGTCGGCTGGCCACGGTAGTATTTTACTTGTTTATAACCAGTTTTTGTATTTTATGACGTGTAAATTAATAGCTAGATTTACGGGTTTCTAGAGAGTCTTGAGGCGTTGAGGCGAGATTCCGAAAATGGTTTACTTCATTATAGCGACAAGAGGAAACCAAAGATCATGGAAGGACATTATCAAAAGGAGCAAAATCGAGGGTCATGAACTGATTAATTATCCTTTTGGATATTTTAGGGAAACACTTGAAACGAAAACTGTTGTGACACTTGTTGCATTTTGATAAGACTTGCTTGTGTTCCTATAGCTACCATTGCACCCTCTCCAGTTCTCTTTCGAACTGCTTTCGTTGAAACCTCCAAACTGTGTTGGAAGGGTTGCCACGAATATCTTGAAGTAAGGATTCTACATGGTTCTGCCCTTGCCTGGCGCACTCCCGTTTAATGTAGTCTTTGAGTGCTGTACTCGCCTGTCCGATGGGACCCCCACCACCACCGCCGTAGACTTCACCCGGGATGTTTTTCTCTGCGCCCTAGCCTCTTGCCGTTAGGGACGCAGAAAAAGTTCACGTAGTCACGTAACCGCTTAGTTGCAGGTTGGCCTAAGTTTAAAAGTGAAATGGAAGCCACCAGGATGGGGAATGTACAGAAAAGGGAAGGTGTTGGGTGTCAGCTGCAGATTATAATAATAGGTAATAATCAGTAAGGTTAGGGCGACAAACAGGTATTCAAGTACTGAAAACTTCTGCCAGTTTGATGTAGGACTTTCAAAGCAAAAGTCGTGTTGTGGTATAAGCAGTGACAGGCACTCGATGATGTTTCCCGGGGTAGCACAACCCACACCCTAGTTGCTTTAGAGAAAGAATCATAATAAATGATAACTCCTAAAAGGAACAAATCTGTCGCAGTTCCAGTTTAATGTAAATAGTTTCTTCAAAGAAGCTCTTATAACAGACCTGCCTTTGGCTCAATCAGTCGAGTGCCTCACCCAACACCTCCCCTGGCTTTCTTTTCACTTTTAAATTTAAGCCAGCTGCAACTAAGCACATGAGCACGGGTTACGGTATTGCGGTCCCACAGCGGATTTCGCAGACGCCGCTAACTCCATAGATAGCACCTAAAGTTCATCTCAGGTCCGTTGGGGTGAATACTCCCTATTTTTTTTTTACGAAAGTCTTTACGAATTGTCGACTGTAATTGCATGAAAAGTGAAAAAAAACTTTATACCATTCTGTGGTGCGGTGCACAGTTGGAGAATGAGCCGAAAACAGACATAGAACTGAGCACTTTGGTCAACAGCTTTTTGTTTGTTGTACTCCTCAACGATTGTAGGGTTGTTCGATGAGGTAATTTTACCACCATGCAAAACTGATTTCATCGGGAGTTCTCTCCTATGCTACCATTATTTATGAAAACCGCCCTTATAGTGTAGGCGACACAGCTCCACTAGTTCCTTTCAGAAGTATTATTGGTGTTACGAGACGATTTTTTACCAAACTAGCTCCCAAGAGGTTCTCCACCCAGAATTCTTTTGGCATATCCACACGATTCGTAGCAATAATCACAACAGTCCTGTCCAACTCCATGTTACCCATTGAAGATTTTAGTGTAAAACCCCTTTGTTCTAGACAGAGATTTATGATACAAGATGATCCCATTCAGAAGTGCGCAGACATCCCGCCGGCCGGCCACAACATTCGCAAAACGGGGTCGGTCCCACGCGCCAGACACGTTCAGAGTGCGCGGTCCCAATTACCCAATCGTTCTAATTTCGTCAGCCGAAGTTGCTATCTGGTTCCACCTGCTCATTCTTTTCTACCCCTTTCATGCTCGGATAAAAGTATGACTATGTTACTCAAAGATGCTGAGGTGCAGCAAGCTAGAGGTTGTGGCTCCACATGTGAGTAGAGATATAGCAATGCGAACTTGCTACCGCCTAAACCTACACCCGTAAAAATTTAACGGACGAGTTTATCTCACGCACTAACTATCTAAATTTTGCTGATTGATCGTTCAACAGGGTTTTGTGAGGGAGTGTGACAGAGGACATGTAGAAGTGAGGAATGAAGACGAATCAGAGTTACCCGATTGATAGGTAGTGAGAGAGTACATAAGTGTCGGTTCTGGGATAACGGAACTTCTCCCCTATCGCGGTATTCTCCCTTGCGGCATGCGGCAAATGTCACTGCAATTACCGTACTCACCCCGCCTCCCGCCAATCGATAGGGCGAGATATTTTTCCTTGACTGGCTTGCTTTTTCATTAAATTTTATCGTTTTTTCTTCTGTTTCTTTTTAGTTTTCATGTTTATTAGACTTGATTAATTAAAATGACTCCTCCTATGTAAGCGGCGATCAAGACTGCATTGAAATTGAAGAGAGCGGTCAGCCAATTCAAATAATTAGAGGACTCCCTACCTCACAAATTGCGCGCTCCAATCTTCCATCGCAATCCTGCGATACGCAGCGGGTGCGGAGTGCGCGACGCCGTGACAAGGGAGAAGTTCCCGGACCCGTCGGTTCTGTGAATAAACCATTCCACTCCTGTTGGTTGTCTAACACCGTAGCTGGCGATCAGGTTCAACCGAAGAAAGAAGCAAGAAAGCCGAAGAAGAATCCAAGGAAGTCGAAGAAGAATCCAAGAAGGTTGAAGAAGGGGAGTTAAGAAGACCAGGGAAGAAGCTCAATTGTCAAAGAGCGATGGAAGTGAAGGCTGAAGCGGCCATTACCACCGAGAGACCAAACCGGTGTAGAAATATACCGGGGTTGGTCCCCGGGACTGTATCTCCCGGGAGCGTAGTGGAGAACCTGGTGGAAACTGTCCAGCAACTTCCTCGCGTTAAGGAAGGTCACCGAAGAAAAGGACCAGCGGTTGGTCTTTTTGCAGGAGGTGAACAACGCAAACTATGAGTTGCTCGAATCGCTCCTGCAAGGCCGGGAGTTGGAAGAAGTAAAAATCGAGGATCTTCGGCAGGCCATGGAACGCCGTTTCCAACCGAAGATGCTCGTGTTGGCAGAGCGTTTTGGCCTCATGTCGAAGGTTCAGAAGCAGGGCAAGCCTGCACGAGCACCACGCGAGATCAAAACCACCTGGATGCGGTGGTAGCGGTGGTTTTCATCGGAGGGTTGCTCTCGGTGGAGACTAGGGAACGATTGCTGGATAGAGAGGACCTCACAGCGAAGGAGGCATTGGGACAGGCTGAAGCATTCGAGCGAGACGTAGGAAGTCCTCCACATTTGAAAGACGGACCCCAAGCAGTAGGGGTGGCTCAGGTAAGGATACATAAACGGCAGTTAGCTAGGCGCGCACAAACGGGTGAACAGAAGAAGAGACCGAGCAAGGGCCCAGCTCAGAGGGAGTCTAGGTGCAGAGTCTGTGAAGCGCTAAGCCATGCCGATTACGAATGTTTCAGGAAGCAATGTGCATACTACCGAGTATGCCAGAAGGGGGGCCACTTAGCAGCGACGTGTTGGAAGAATGCTAAGGTAGGCCGTGAAGTCTCCCGCCAGGTTCACTGGTGTGAGGAGCCCTCCGGAAGCTACAACAGTGGCGAAGAGTGGGTAAGTCAGAGCGTAAATGTAGTTCGTAAATCACGCTCAACTCACTGTCGTAAAGCTGAGAGCAAGAATCCGGTAAGTGGATCCCGTATAAACGGAGTAGCAGTGAACCGCCTGAAAGAAGAGCTAACCTGTTGTCTGAGTGGAACTTACGATACGGCAGAGAGTACTTACACTGCACTGCTTATAGTAGAGGTAGTATCCAGATGATGAAAACCGCTACTACAGAGGCCACTAACGAAAATGAGCAACACTCTGATATGTAAACCATGGCTAGTGATATGCCGCCCGAGGTGAGAGAGACCGGTTGGCGGATGAGCCGCCGCAAATGCTAGATATGGAAGTGAATGAAAAGAAGTTTTGATTTAAGCTGGATACGGATACAGGCGCATCCCTACCTATGATCGATGAGGAAACTTTGAGGATGCTAGGCCGACCTCCGCTAGAGGAAGCGGAGGTAGCTGCGGCGGCAGTTGATAATAAACGGATCTTATTCCAGGGCGAAGTGCCATTACATATCAGGTTCGCCGGAAAGGAGGCGATGGTAGATGTACATGTATTCAAGGCAGCAAGTCACTCCTTGTGTGGGAGAGACATGGAAAGGAGACTGCAGATTGAATGTGGACCACATTATGATAGGATACACAGTGTTATACAAATGCCCAAAAAAGAAATTAAAGAGGGAAAAGGAAAAGGAATTAGTTCGCGTTTTGCATAATAATAAGAAGTTGTTTCAAGATGGTTTGGGCAAGTGCGTGACAGCACGAGCTGAGCTCTAATTCGAAAGTGAGTCCGTAGAGCCTAATTTCTTAGAGGCAGACCAGTTTCTATTGCGTTGAGGCCGAAAGTGGAGGCGAAGTTGAAAGAAGTGGTGCGCAATGGAACCATAGGAAGGGTAAAGCATAGTGAATGGGCCACACCATTAGTGTAGTGCCCAAACCAGGCGGGAAAATATGAGTATGTGGCGATTATAAAGTCACAGTAAACCCCCAATTAGACATTAATCAGTACCCGTTGCCTAAACCAGATGGCTTATTCCATATGTTGCATGTCGGCAAAAAGTTTTCCAAGGTTGATTTGTCAGACGCGTATATGCAGGTGGAGCTGGGGAAAGCTCGGGGAAGTGTACGACAATTAAAACGCATAAGGGACTATTCCATACGCGGATCCCCTTTGGAATTGCGTCAGCACCTGCAATGTTCCAGTGGATATTGGAAGAGACTCTGGCAGGCGTAGAAAGGTTGCTGATTTATCTGGACGATATTACGGAGACAGGTCCATGAGAAGGCTAGAAAAGGTCTTGAGTAGGTTGAATGAGGCGGGGTTTTACCTAAAAAGAGAGGAGTGCAGCTTTTTAAGGAGGAGATGGTTTATTGGGGTCATGTGGTTGATGAGAAGGACATTAGGCCATTTCCAAATGAGCTGAAGGCAATAGTAAACATGCCCTAGCCTAAAAATTTAAAAGAGCTGCAATCTTATCTAGGCATGGTGCAATATTACGGCAAATTTATTCCGAGGTTAGCAACGCTAGCAGCGCCACGAAATAGCCTACAAAGAAAGGGGACACCCTGGAAATAGTGTGCAGAGGAAAAAATAGCCTTCTCTCGGATACGACAGATGCTCACGGCATGGGTACATTGGCGCATTATGATTCCAGTGTTCCGGTAGTATTAAGTAGCGATGCTTCAGAATATGGTATCAGTGCAGTATCATACCATAGGTATGATGATAAAAGCGAGAAAGTAATGGCGTACACGTCGCGTACTTTGACGAAACAAAAACGCACTTATGCCCAAATAGAAAAGGAGGCGTTGGGAATAGTATATAGAGTAGAGAAATTTAATCAGTTCCTTTACGGTTTACACTGCTAGGGATCTTTAGCCGTCAGTAAGGATCTTTGGTTCCAGAGAGGGATTGCCTGTAATAGCAGCAAAGAGGCTGCATAGATGGGCGTTGAGACTCATGCTATATTCCTTTGAAACTGAGTATAGGAAAACGGCCGAGTTCTGTAATACGGACGGTTTATCAAGGTTGCCCGGTCCAAAAGAGTTGCCTAGTGCTGGGATCCTCAGTAAAGGATAAAATTTTTGGCGTTAATCAATCCCGTTTGATGGATACGCCCCTGCACTCGGCTTCCTTTCGGAATCGTAGTGGCGTAATGAGTGCGTATATGGCCTATACAGTGACTTGCGGTGGCCAGCCGATGTACAAGTCAGTGTTTTTATCCTCCCAGACGTGTCCGGTAGCAATTCACCGACCCTGGAGGGATGGAAGGCTTGATTGGCCTAGGCGGGCACCGACCCGGGATTCGAATCCCTGACCGTGCGCGTGAGATAGTGCGCCACTTGCCACTACACCAACTCCGCCCTCCGCTGAGATCCTTCTATATATAATCCACATGTTCGATGTGTCTGTTTGTATGTATGTATGTATGTATGTATGTATGTATGTATGTATGTATGTATGTATGTATGTATGTATGTATGTATGTATGTATGCATGTATGTATGTATGTATGTATGTATGTACGATTGTTTGTTTGTTTGTTTGTTTGTTTATTTGTTTGTTCGGCTTTGCTTTGTGTGTCACGTAGTCCGGGTTTACCACAGAAACACCTTTAAAAGTCGGGACAAGTTCGGGATGGGTGGAACCTGGGACAAGATTAACAGAGCACATATAACTCATACATACTAAGGCACAGAGGCCAGGAAAAAAATAAAAGAGTGATGAGGGCCTTAAGCGTGCGTAAGCTTAACGAAGCCCCGCCCACAATGGGTGGGGCGTGCGTTGAGACGAAAGCCATTTTTCAAAAATGAATGCAACTTTGCTTGGAAACGGTTCAAGAAAGCGGTAAAAAAGTGGTTAGAGGTAATGGAACAAAGGTGGCCCAATCCTCGAAGTGGGCGGGGCTGGCACTATGGTGGGCGGGGCTTAGATCTAAATTTATAACTCTATTCAGAAACGTTTTGGGATGCGGCAAAAAGGTGTTAAGGTGTAAAAGAACAAACGTGGTCAAATCTCAGAAGTGGATGGGGTTGGCACTGGAGTGGTATCACATCAAAATTATTAACTCTCTTCATATGCGTTTTAGAACGGTGTCTAGAGGTCAAGTAGTGTGTTTCGAAGCCTGAAGTGGGTGGAGTTTGCAAAGAGGGGGATGGGGCTGAAATCAAAAATTCATACATCTGTCCTTCACACTAACCCTGACATAGGTGTACAACTAAAAAAAACCACACTTTCCTAGATCTAGGTCTAACGTTAGAGCAAATTTCTTTGTTAATCGGGCATCTTCTGAGTTTCGGGAATTTGTTAGGAAATACTCCCTACCCAAAACTTTGTCGCAGTTCAAACGAGCACTGAAAAAATACTTGGCTGAGAGCTACACTGGTTAGGCTCATTTTTAGTTTTGCCTTAGTGGAAGTTTCATAAGGTATTATTTCTCTTTCATTGGCTTTTGCTTTGATCAGCTGTCTTTTACTACCTGGTTCTCTTGGATCTTGATTATTTATATGATTTGTTTTTGTAGTACGCTGTGTTCATGTACTGACTGTACATGTTACTAAATAAATAAATAAACTAGGGGATACCACTAAACTTTCAAAAATTAGGTTAAAAATCTTCTAAAAGTTACCACTCATGGTTTCGTACACGGTAGTCCCTTCTACAGTGACTGTTGGCATACATCGCATCATTTCTTGGGTCAGAGCTTTTCTTTCTGATCGCTGGTTCATGGTTCGTCTTAATTCAAGCTTTCCCTGGGCTCGATCCATATTAAGTGGAGTTCCTCAGGGTGGTATTCTCTCAATTTCTTTCAATATTTACGTGCATGAATTGCCGAATTTGGTCGCATCCTGTGGAGTTGAGAGTGTGGCGTTTGCTGATGATATGAAAATCTGTACGCAAATAACCTCTTCTGAGGATTGCGACACTCTTCAACATGCCCTCGACCTTACTTCTTCTTGGTCTCAGGGCTAATTGCCTTTGTCTAAAGAGAAAACCAAAGTTATACGCCTCCAGAACCGCTCCACCCACTGTCCTGTGATCACTCCTATTTTATTGGTGGTACAGCAATTGAAAAGGTTGACAACATCGTCGATCTTGGATTCCTAAAACCACCTGTTCTCAACTTTGATAGCCACTGTGACAGGATAACTTGTGAAGCTCTGCAGGTTGTCTCCAAAATTTTCAGAGCTCTGATAACTAATAACCCTAGCACTCTCCTGTTGGCTTACAAGTCATAAGTGAGACCACTAATGGAATACCGTACTGTTATGTCCAATCCCTACAAACGTAAAGTCATCGATAGCTTTGATTGCTGGCGCAGAAACAACTTTGATTTGCTTCTTTTCCATGAAATTCTACATCATCATCAGCAGCAGCATCCATTACCAGAGGTGGAGCTAAATTGCTTCTCCCCAGAGCGAAACTCAACTGTAGGTCTTGGTTCTTCCACAGTATCTCAAGTTGAGCACAAAGAGGAGCGTTCCTGTTAGCTTCGAGACCACTAAGAAGTATTTGATGCAAATCTAGACGCCGGATGACTTCCTAGTGGGTAATGACTTTCCCTATACTCTTAGAGGCACAGTTCACGATAAAAATGGTTCCTGAGATTGCATTTTCCCCCACAGGATGCATTTGAGTCCCCTGCGTACAGCATATCTGGCACTATAAGGTCGGAAAACGGCTAGTTAGGGAGTTATAAAGCTCAAAGATTGACCCGTGTGAATTCTCGGACGAGTTTCACCGGCATTATAGAGGCTGCACCGCTCACAAGGGAGCTCATGTAGGAAGTTAGAACAACTTGTCATGACCCAGAACGACAGTGGAAGACAGTGCACAGTTCTGGCTTGATGTAGTTAGCTCTTTGCGCAATTGCAATACTGAAGTTTCGTCCGAATACTCCTTCCAAGTTACTCCCGTCATGGCAATCTTGTCCAACCTCTATTTTCCCTACTTTTGAGGAGCCATATTTTTCTCGAAATCGGCGAATGCTCTCGCTTTCTTCACTACCGGTGAACTATTCACAATCTCTAGTTCGACTTTTCGAATAAAAACGGGTACCTCAAAATTATGGTGAACTGTACCTTCAATCTACATATTTTCCTATTAGCTGTATCCTTCAAATGCCGTTTTTTATTGTCATCATTCCACAACATACTTCTATAACATCCTACCCCACGCTGGCAGTCATTGTTATGTTGCATTTAAAC